ATAGATGGATTTGGATTTCTGCGGGGTCTATTGTGATTTCACCCTTTTCATTCCTAATTGCATGGATTTGAATCTTTCTTTTTTTGGATAACGTTAAGTAAGGTTTATCAATTTTGTTTAATCTTTCAAAGAACCAACTCTATGATTCATTTGTTTTTGTTTTTGTTTTTGTTTTCAGTGCATTAATTTCTGCTCTGATGTTTGTATATTCCTCCCTCATGTGAACTTTTGGCTTATCCTACTCTTCCTAGAAATTTGAGGTTTACCATTAAGTTGTTTATATATACTTGTTCTGTTTTCTTGTTATAGTATTCACAACTATAAATGTTCCTCTTAGGACTACTTTCATTATGTCCCATAAGTTCTGGTATGTTATACTATTATTATCAATTAATTATAGAAACTGTCTATTTTGATCTTTAATTTCGTCTGTGACCCATTGGTTGTTGAAGAGGGTGCTATTTAATTTCCATGTATTTTTGAAGTTCCTGCAGTTTTTTTGCCATTGATTTCCAATTCCATCACACTATGGTCTGATAATATGCATAGGATAATTTTGATTCCTTTTCATTTAAGCATGTTCTATGAGTTAGCACATGGTTTGTTTTGGATAATATCTCATGTACAGCTGAGAAGTATGTGTATTCTGATGTTGTAGGGCTGAACATTCTGTAGACATCTAGTAAATCCATTTGTTCAAAAGTTTGTTTCAGTTCTAATGTTTTGTTACTTTTTGTTTGTTGATGTGTCTTTTTGTAACAATGAGGTATTGAGATCCTCCCAATACAGTTGTATTAGTGCTTATTTGATTTTTCATGCCTGTTAATATTTCATATAGTTGGGTACTCTGGTATATTTGTTGCATATATATTTATAATTATTATTTCTCCCTCTTGGGTTGTTCCCTTTACAAGGATGTAGTGACTGTCTTTGTCTCTTTTAATCAGTCTTACTTGAAATTCACTTTATCTGCAAATAGAATAGCTATTCCTGCTTTGTTTTGGGTTTCTGTTGCATGGAGTATTACACTCCATCCTTTGACTTTCAGTATATGAATTTCTCTTTTAATTAAATGTGTTTTCTGTGTGTAGCATATTGTCGGATCTTCTTCCTTGATCCGTTCTGCCAGTCTGTGTCTTTTGGTGGGCGATTTGAGACCATTAACATTGATAGTTATAACTGATATGTATTGACTTACCCTCGTCATGTTATTTTCCTGTTATTGGTGCTCCTGCTCCCTCCTTCTGTTTAACTGTTTGCCTTGCCTGGTGGATTCTTTCTGTTGAGGTTCATGAAGTTGTACTCCTTGTTATCTTTATCTAGAATGTCCTTCAAAACATTTTGGAGTGCTGGTTTGGTGATCATAAATTTCCTCAAATGTTCTTTTTCATGGAAATATTTTATTTCTGCATCAGTTTTGAAAGATAGTTTTGTTAGCCAGATAGCTCAGCGTACTAAAGTGCCTGCTTAGACAGAACGCAGCAGCCAGGGCTCGATTCCTGGCTTGCCATGCCAGCCCCACCCCTGGGGCAGGCTGAGAGAGTGATTGATTTTTTTTTTTTTTCGGAACCGGGGATTGAACTCAGGCCCTTGTGCTTGCCAGGGAAGCACTTATTCTACTGAGCCATCTCCCTGGCCCCTGAGAGAGTGATTGAGACTGGGCACGGTGGCGTGCACCTGTAATCCCAGTGCTTGGAAGGCTGAAAACAGGAGAATCACTATAAGTTCAATATACCTAGTGAGACCCTGTACTAAATATAAAATTTAAAAAAAAAGAAAAATAGTTTGTGAGGTACATCAGTCTGGGTTGAAAGTGGTTTTCCTTTTGAACTTGAAATACTTCAAGCTCTCCTTGACTTGAGGGTTTCTGCTGAGAAGTCAGTGGTGATTCTGATTGGCTTAGCGTTAGAGGTGTTTTACCTAACACCTTTTTTTTCTGATAGCTTTAAGATTCTATTATTTAGTTAAATTTCTAGAATCTTGACTACAGTATTCTTGGCTGTAGATGTTTTTGATTGTGGCTAATTGGTGTTCTGTATGCCTTATTTACTGTATGACAAATTATTTTTTTTCTACCAGGTAAATTTTCTGCCATGCAGGGTGTGAATAGTTTTTAAATATCATTTGTGCTATCTTCAGCTTTTTCACTGAGTTCCATCAGTCTTAAGTTGTTCTTTTTAGCTTCAACTAGCAGCTGCTGGATTAATTTGTCATGGTCCCTTGCTATTATTAAGAAATTTTTCTTTTCATTATCACTAACTGCAAGCCTGTCTTCTATATCTGAGATCCTGTCCTTACATTGGCTTAACCTGCTGAAGATATTTTTGATGCAATTTTTATTCTCCTGGATATCTGCTTGAATCTGCCTTATGGATTCCTTTTCCTTCCTATGCTGAGCATTCATGGCCTCCATAATTTTCTTCAGCTCAACTGTTTGTGTTTTGTTTTTGTATCTGTTCTAGAGTCATTAAGCATGGTTTTAATTGTGAACATCTTCTTTGCAGTTATATGAGAAGTTATTTCTGAGTTAATTTTTTTTTCTAGAGCTTCATTCCTTTCCTTTGTTATTACCACTTCAGAGAGGTCAGGTAGATGGCTTTCAGATTGCCTTTCATTGCTTCTTAGATTTGCCTTTGGTGAACTAGATGTCTGGGGTTGCATCTTGTTTAAATGTATTCTATTTTCTTTTCTTTTTTGTTAATTTAATTCCTGTGGTAACGTTTGTAAATTACCTACGATAGGTTCCTTTACTGCTAACATTTAGAGCTCTTAGGAAATGATTACGTCTACAAGGTGTCTTCCAGGTGTAGCTGGTTTCTGGGTTTTGAATCTGGCAATATCTTACCTCTTCATATTGTTGGGGATGAGAAGCTGCTGTCTGTGGCCCAGCCCCTGGTTCTTTGGCACTGTGCCACAGTATTTTCTGTGGCCCTTAGTCATTCTCAGTCTTGGACTATCAGGGAAAACAGTTGTTTAGAACAATTATGACACTTTTGGCTACAGTGGTACCAATGACAATAGCATCAGACACAGCCTAGAAAATGGCAAACATCTCAGTTAATTTGCGACCTTGATATGAAAAAGATTTTGTGGTTATATAACAAAATCTAAAACAAACCAGAAAATTGTAGCAGTATATGTCATTTTTGCCCTCAGGGGTTAAAATTTTAAAACAGGTTAAGGAGAAAATAGAGAAGTGGGAGAAAAGGAAGAGATTATAAATAAAGCCAGAGGACAAAAGGAGATTCTGCTTACTTTGGGAATCTGGTGCAGAAGACTGGAGGCAAAGAGGGAAGGAAGAGTTAATAAGAATAGAAAGAACCACAACCACAAAAGACTAGAAATCACATTCCCTTATATAAAAACAATTATGGAGAAAAAAATAACAGCAACATAACCAGCACCACCACGGGGGGTGGGGAAGAGAAAGGAGGGAGGGAGAAAGAGAATAAATGAGAATGAAAGAGTATCCACTTGCAGGTTTGTCTGTGCTGTCACTGGTAGACAGCATGTGGAGACAGAGTCCTGTTCTGTGTTCCTTTATCCCAGCAAACCAGCAGGAGCTTTTTGGTTGGGTAGTAGATAATCTCAACAAGACTGCACCTTCTGGCTGAGACCAAATTCATATGGCTGCAGCCAACTTCACACCTTCCCTGGGCCTGAGCCCAGCTGGGAGCTATGAAATGGAATGAATTTTGAGCTCATCCAGCCCCTCTCCAGAATGGTTCCTGGCCAGTCACCTTCTCCCCCAGAACATACAAGCCCTCTGCACTCACCACCAGCTAGTGAAGCCCTTCACGTGCACTGCTCCCTTATGTGCCCTGTGAGCACCCTCATCTGTACTATGAGCACCGGCAACCCCAGAGGCCTCCATGGACCCGAACCCCAGCAATTCGTGAGACCCTGTCCAAAAATAAAAAATAAAATGGGCTGGAGATGTAAGTCAGAGAGGAGGCCCTGATTTAATCCCCAGTACACTGCCCATCAGTTGTATGTGTAACAAACTAAATAGTTTTATATAAAAACTGTAGTTTTTAAAATTTAGAATCAAAGCATAACAGCATAACATAAACAGTATTACAAACTCCTATATACTTGGCATCCAGTTTCGAGCGTGATCAGTATTTGACCAATAAATACTGACCTGCATAGTACATCTGCAGGTTTGAAATGCTTGTCTCACACAGTGAGTCCTTTCTCAGGGAGAAGGCACGGCCTGCTGCTGCTTCATTGATGTTTTTCTTTTTACACTTTGGTGGGCTTCAGTTTGTGCCTCAGCTCCCACTTGGGTCCAGTGGACCCACTTCTTTCCTTATCTTCCCCATCTTGCTATATTCCAGGTCTTGGAATATAACTGTCAGGGCGGCTCTGTCACTGCTGCTTACCTGCCTTCCATCTTGGTCCTTTCCCTCGGGGAAATTTAAAGGATACAATATTATCATGTATTAAGGAAATGGTTTTTAGTTATTAGAGGTATTCTGGATATGATTTTGAAAAATTTTTGAAATGCATACTGAAATATTTGGGAAGAATTAATGTAATACTTGGAATATGCTTTAATCTAGTAGGGGGAATAATTAGGTTTAGATGAAACAGTATTTATTGGCCAAATACTGATCATGCTCGAAACTGGATGCCAAGTATATAGGAGTTTGTAATACTGTTTATGTTATGCTGTTATGCTTTGATTCTAAATTTTAAAAACTACAGTTTTTATATAAAACTATTTAGTTTGTTACACGTACAACTGATGAGCAGTGTACTGGGGATTAAATCAGGGCCTCCTCTCTGACTTACATCTCCTGCCCATTTTATTTTTTATTTTTGGACAGGGTCTCACAAATTGCTGGGGTTTGGGTCCAACTTAGGATCTCTTGCCCAGTCTTGTAATCCCTTTGCTGGGATTACAAGTGTGTGCGACCATGCTGAAAAACAAATGTTTATCCATCTTGAGAAATCATTATATTTCCTTTCTATATGACACTCTTTTTGTTTTCTAGGAAATTTTTTTAGGTTACATGAAAGCCATACTTTCTCATCACTACGGTTTACCAGGAACTCTGATTTGAAGAGAATGAATGGATTTTGCACCAAACCACAGGAAAGTCACAAAGCTCCAACCAGTAAGTTTTTAGTGGTTTTCCAGTTATGGAGTAGGTGACTCCCCCAAAAATGGGACACTCTAGAATCAGAAGAATCCAGAAGAGGGCACAACAGGGCTCCTGTGGTGGCCCCGTCGTGGAGTTAAGGTCTCCTGAGTTGTGCTCCCTGTGATTCTGCCCAGCTGTGGTTTCATTTCTTGCCTCCAGTGGGACCGTAGCTTTCTGTGTAGGCACAGATGCCCAAAGCAACTCTGACCCTTACCGCTGTCGCTGTGTGAGAAGAAAAGGTGTGACATGTTAACTGCGCCTTTCCTGTTGTTTCTTCATGGAACTACGCCCCAGACAGTCTTGACAAGTGAAAAGAATGATCGCTAATGAATGTTTATCAAGAGCTTAAAAACATTTCTGCCCTTTGACGTGATGTTAAGGGATAATCAATGCATGTAGAGAAAGCTTGGAGTATAGTATTACCTTTTTTTTTTTTTTTTTTTTTTTGGCAGAACCAGGGATTGAACTCAGGCCCTTACACTTGCCAGGCAAGCGCTTATTCTACTGAGCCATCTCCCTGGCCCCACTATTACCACTTTTATGGATTTCAAAAATTAGAAATGCTTAAAACTGTTTAATAGGAAATGGTTAATGGTGTGTTAGATCTACCTGATGCTATTATACATCTGCTGGAAATGATACTTTTAAGTATCATGTATGTCTTGGTTACTTTTCTTTCCTTGCTGAGACAAAATACAGGACACTGAAATTTAAAAGAGGATGATTTATTTAGCTCACAGTTTGTGGAGGTTTCACTGCATAGTCAACTGGCTCCAGGACATGGTGGCATGGCAGAGGGCAACAGTTCAAGGTGACCAAAGACAACAGAAGCAGTAAGAGCAAAAGGGTTGGGGGGAGCAAGTCTCTTCTCCACTGTATTGTAAGCAGGCTACCCCATTCCCGGGGCAGGTTAGCACTCACACCATCTTGGTGCCCTCTGCTTGTCCAGGCAGAGGCTGTTTACACAGTGATGACCCTGGTCTCTGGCTGAGTAGCTTAGTTAAGCTTCTAAACTTCTCAGATTGACACAGTGTATCCACCATTGCAATATACTAGGATAGAAAATATATTAATGAATAAACTATATAAAATGTTAAGCATAAGCCTCATATACACCCACACACATTCCTACATGTTCATAGGAATAAAACTGAGACCGTTGCAATTAAAATATAGTGGTTGGCAGGCATGGTGCCACTCGCCTTAATCACAGAACATGGGAGGCTAAAGCAGGAGAATCTCCCATGAGTTCAAGTCCAGGCAGAACTACATAGTGAGAAGCTGTCTCAAAAAACCAAAATATAAGGATAGATATGCAGCTACTTTCTCTTAGTTCAATAAGGAGAAAGACATACTAATAGTGTATTTTTTTTTCTGTCACTTTAGTGTGTTGTGTTGTTTTGTTTTGCATTACTGGGGTTAACTATAGGTCTAGCCCTTTTATTATTATTTTATTTTGAGACAGGGTCTTGCTAAGTTGCCCAGGCTGGGCTTAAGCTTGCAGTCCTTTTTATTTTATTTTTAATTTTTTTTTTGGGGGGGGGGTGTTTAGACAGGGTCTCGCTTTTGTAGGTTAGGCTGGCCATGATCTCTTGGCAATCCTACTCAGCCTCCCAAGGTCTAAAATTACATGTGCGTGCACCATAACTCAACTCGAAGGCCTTTTAAATGTAATTGTATCATAAACCTTTTTCTAGGGGCCAGGGTTATAGATCATTGGTGTAAGCACCTGCCCTGCATGCTCAAGGTCCTGAGTTCGATCCCGGGTACTGCCAAAAAAAACCTTATTCTATTTAAGTCAGAAAAACTCCCTCCCTCCATAATTCCATCTTCTCTTCCCTCTACCCCTGTTCCCCACTTCCCTGACCCTTACCCTCTGGCCCCCATATTAGGAATCAAATCCAGGAATTATCTTTCCTACTGAGCTACATTCTCAGCATTTTTTTTTTTTTTTAATTTTTTAGGTAGGGTCTTGTTAAATTGCCTAGTCTGATCTGTAGCTTGTGGTCCTCCTGCTTCAGCATCATGAGTAGGTGGGATCACAGGTATATACTACCATACCTGACTTTATAATTCTCTTAGTCCAATCTTATCTTCATATATATTTTTTTTCTTTCTTTTTTTTTTTTTTTTTTGTGTGTGTGTGTGGTACCAGGGATTGAACTCGGGACCTTACACTGACCAGGCAGGTGCTTATGCCACTGAGCTATCTCCTTAGCCCTTATCTTCATATCTTTGATCATTGTATTCATTCAATTTTCAAAAATAGGGCTTGTACTAGGAAATAGTGTTTTTATTTTACCACAATCTTCAGGAGATTTCAGAACCTCATTTGATAAACAAGTCCTGAAGAGAAATCTCATTCAAATAAAGTTCTAATAAGCCCGAAATGCTGCCTTGGTGTTTGTGGACAGCTACCAAGTGCGAACAGCACTCTTGCCCACTCTTCCGAGTCACAGTCTTGGGTAAGTGTTCTGTTTGGTCTCTGCACAGGCACTTACAGCCACAGAGTGCCGCTGCACAAACCCACGGACTGGGAGAAGAGGATCCTGATATGGTCCGGTCGCTTCCAGAGCAAGGACCAAATTCCAGAGACTATCTCGTGAGTGCCACACCTGCGGCTACAAGCAGCTTCCACTTCTCACTGATCTGTTTAAGGAAAAAGCAGTACCTCTGAGTTTAAAACCTTTGAACCAAATCATTGTTATTATTGGTTTGTGAGAAAGGCTCTGACTGTGTAGTTCATTCAGGCTGTTCTTGAACTCTGTAGCCCAGGCTGGCCCCACACTTACAGCAATACCCTTGCTTCAGCCTCCAGACTACTGGAGTTACAGGTGTGTGCCACCTAGAAACATTTTTTACTTCTCTAAATATTTTGTCTTTGAAAAGTAGCTGGAATAAAAAGTGTTAAAAATTGTGCCTTATCACTGGTGTGCTACATAGTGCCCCATGAAATGCTCTCCAATATTCCAAAGGCAGCTAATGGTTTAGCTTCAGCCTCTGGCTGCAGAACTGGCTATACCACGATACTTACTTGTTAGTGTTTTTATCTGGGTCCATCAATTAGGTATCAGGGACAAATACTATATTCTACAGAATCTACTCAAGGCTCAACTTTAGGCATAAAAGTGTTTCAGTGCCTCGGGTATAGTTTGGAGCTGAAGTGTCTCTCACAGCCACGTATGTTGAAGGCTGGGTCCTCGGGGTGGCGCTATTGAGAGGTTGCAGAGGTTTTAAGAGATGAGGCCAGGTGGGAAGCCCTCAGGACCTGGGGTGTGTCCTCAAGGAACTGTGTCTACTTTTACCTCAGCAGCTCATGCTCTGAGGCAAGAAAGTGTCTCCTTTGATTGGTTTCCTCACAGCTAGTCTTGGCTGGTCTCTTGGACCTTTTTGTAGTCGGTAGCTGGTAAAGATAGGGTATTGACCCAGATGTTCTCAGTTTCACTACTAGCGACACTGGGGCCAGAATATCTTTGCTATGTGAGGTTGTTTTGTGTGTTGGAGGACAGTTAGCAACTTTTACCTCTGCCCCCTCCATGCCAGCAACTCACTGTCAGAGGTACCAAACAAGGAGATCTCCATAGCCAGGCAAGGTGGCCCATACCTGTAATCCCAGCACTTGGAAGGCTGAGGCAGGAAGCTGGGAAGCTCTGTCTCAAAACAAAAACAAAAGTGTCTTCAAACACTGCCCAGGGTGCGTTGCAGGGACAGTATCGGCACCACCACCACCACCACCCGAGTTAGAAGCAGTGTTCCAGCCTGACTCAAAGAACACTCATTGGCATTGTGGCTGGGTGGGTTTCAAAGAGGTAGATGCTGTCTCCTTTGCAGGCATTGTCCCACTCAGAGACAGGAACTTTGGACAAAGGCCCTTGAGTTCCTTTCAGCAAAGGACTCTCCCTAAACGTTTTTGCCCTGGTTTCAAGTTACAATAGAAAAAATCTGGGCTCATACAGAACTTTTTTTTTTTTTTTTGCACTGGGAATCAAACTTAGAACTTGCACTTGCCAGGCAGTGTTTGTGCCACTGAGCTATATCCCCAGTCCCAGAACATCTTTTCTGACAGGTAACACTGTATTTACTTTCTGCTTATGACAGCTTCCATAGGGCCCTCCTGCTTCTGTCTACCCAGCTGAATACAGGGCTGGGTGATTTTCACTACAGAAAGTCCTGGCCCTCTGCCTTCCTCTGAGTAGCCCTGCAGTGAGTAAGGTGGTATATACCAAGTGCCGTGGTGGATCTGTGCAGAGCACCTCCCCTCGTCTGCCAAATGCCTGCCTCAGGGTCCCCCAGGCCCACAATCCTGCCTGCTGAGCCACCCTGGAAGCTCGGCTCTGGGCCTGGGCAGCCTTCTATCACGGGGCACACCCATTCTCATTGCTTCCTGTGGTGTGGATGGCAGCATCATGGCCTCACTTACGCGCATGTCACTGCTTTATGTTCCCTTAAATGTAAAATATATGCTCTCCATGAGGATCACAGTGCTTCTGTTGGAAATACCAGGTCACATAAAATCATGTCAGATGGGTAGTTTGTGGTTGGTGGGATCTCAGATATTTTAGTTGAACAGTCATGATTTTCAGTAGCTGGCCTAGGTTCCTGCCGCCCTCCGCCCTAAGGACCAACTCCATTGCCCAGATTGCCCCACCCAACTGCTGCCTCCCAGTTCTCAGCTCGCATGTCCCAGTGCATCCTCAGGGTCCATCTGTCTGGACTGACCCAGACCCTGTGACTCCTCCAAACACTTTTTAAGTGACATCTCCTTTCCTGATTTTCAAATATATGTTAAATATTTGGGAGGAAAAGTAAAAAATCTAAAGGGACAAGAAAAAGAATAGAAGAAAAAAATGGAAACAAAGCTTTTGTAAATAAGGAGTACAGGGGACCGGGGAAATGGCTCAGTGGAATAAGCGCTTCCCTGGCAAGCGCAAGGCCTGAGTTCAATCCCCGGTTCCACCAAAAAAAAAAAAAAAAAAGTAGAAGAGGGGTTGAAGGGAGGGGAGGGGGAATAGGAAAAAAGCAAGCTATATCATGTACAGGTACAAATTCCCTATGATGAATGTGATGATTATGTATATCTAAATGTACCAAGGGCTGATGAGATAGCTCAGTGGAGTATAAGCATCTACTTAGGCAAGTGCAGGGACTGGGGTTCGATCCCTGGCACCACATGCTGTGCCAGCCCTGCCCCCAGGTGCACTAAGCCGGCCACCACGCACCTGTAATCTCAGTGCTGGGGAGGCTTGAGGTAAGAGGATCACTACAAGTCCCAGCTGTGCAGTGAGACCCTGTACCAATTACATGAAATGTACCAATAAGAAAAAGTAAAAAGCACTCACATTTCATCCTCAAGAGATAATCGCTTCCTGTGTGCACCTCTGCTGAGGTGGCTGGAAGTTCTTTAGCCTGGGCCTCATCCACACACCCTGCCTAGAGGCTCTGCAGCACCCAGGCTGTAGAAGCACTGCCTGCCTGGAATCACCCTGTTAGGTCCTTTGGCTGTCACCCGAGAGCCATGACCCAACCAACCCTCTCTCGACTTTCTGTCACAGCTCATGGTGAGTGGACAGACCAAAAGAGCTGCACTCTCAGCACCTGCCAAAGACCATAGACTCCAGTACACTTGTCACTCAAGTTTTAGCAAGATCTTAGTTAAAAAATAAATATGAAGGAACTCTTGCTTACCAGATCTTCCTCCTGGTTCAGATATTCTCAAGCCTAAGATGATAAAAAGCTGGGTTATATGGTGCATTTTGTTTAACTCTCATGTTTGTTTCTTTTCTGAATTGTGATTTATGTTGAAACCTAAGACGCCTACAGCAGTTATTGTCAGCATGTACTTCAGAAAATGATATGTATCTTTGAAAGAACCCAGGGAGAAGTAGCTATGGCTTTCACTTATAGCAATAGTTGCTAAAAATGCGCACATCAGAACCCTGCCATAGTAAGATTGTGCTGTGCAGATTAATGCTTTTAGGTTAATATGCCATGCTGTTTTCATTTTAGTTGTTTTGCTTCTGGCTCTATTTTCACATTTTCTTCATTTATACTTTGCTGGGTAAAGTGGTACAAGCTAGTAATTCCAGAACTTGGGAAGCTGAGGCAGAAGGATCAGAGTACAAGGCTAATCTAATGACCAAAAAAAAAAAAACCTAAAACAAAAAAAAAAAACAAAAACAGAATTTGTGTTCTCTTGCTGTTTACTAATAAAGAGTTGTGAAACTGACCTATCCTCCCCAAGCCAGTGAGATCCCCGATTCTGCTGCCTTTTTTGAACATAGAGACACCATTACACTTTGATGCTGTGGTACACAGATCTTGTTACCCTACTATAATGTGAGAAAGCGGAAGGTTAGTAATGTCTGTCTGTCTGTCTGCTGTTGTCTCATCAGCTTTGAAATGCTTGACGCCGCAAAGAACAAGGTGCGGGTGAAGATCAGCTACGTGATGATTGCCCTGACGGTGCTGGGGTGCGTTGTGATGGTCATAGAGGGCAAGAAGGTAAGGGTGGGTTCCTCTCAGTGCCCGCGTGCTCTCCCCAGGGGATCCTGGATGCAGGGCATGGCCCCTCGCTTAATGTCTGAGGAGCTGAAGCTACTTTGTGCGTGAGAATGATAGACGCAGTAGGGGCGAGTGGGAGAGCGTGCCTTGGCTAACCAGCAAAGTCTAATCCTGGCACACCCGTGACAGACTACATTAGTCTTGTATAAAACATGTCTGAGTTGTCATAAATAATCTGAAACAAGAAAGGCATATTTAGTAACCCTTGGGATGTTTGTAAAGCACCCTCTGTGTGTTCATGTGTTTCCCTCCCCCCCCCCCCTTCTCTTCAGCAAGACTAGCACTCTGCCACTGAGCTCTGTCCCCAGCCCAACGGTGTTTCCCTCTCAGTACTGGGGATTAAACCCGAGACCTTTACAGTGAGCTGCATTCTCCAACCCTTTTTAATTTTTATTTTATTTATGAGTCAGTCTCACAATGTCACTGAGTTGCTTGGTATGGATTCATACTTGGAAACCTTCTGCCTCATCCGCCCCGAGTGCTGAGACTACAGCTGTACAGCTCTACACTGGGCTGATAGCTGTGTTAATATTTAGTGGTCCTGACCAACCCTTTAAAAAATAACCATGTCTAATGCTATGTGTCCTAATTTTCATATGAAAATAGCTATCTTGTAGCTGTTACCAGATATGAAAAAAATTCTTACACACATGGTTGTCCCCAGTGGTTCCAAAGGAGAAGTGAACATCTGGCTCTCTGGAGCCACACTTACATGGAAATACTGACCATTTTAGGTTGACTTCACAGTACAAAGGACCCAGACTGGTACCCTAGGCAAAGTGGAAAACAATGATCCAGTTCATGGGTTGGTTCACCATCAGTGTTTCTTTGTCCCCTCTCTGCCTTCATGATGGTTCTCAGAGTGAATCCTTCAGGAGCATGTGGACTGGCTACGCAGCTTTCTAGAATTCTGAAAAATCTGTGTTGCATTTATATGTGATTTTAGACACAAAGCTCACTTCAGTAGTTGCAGGTTATTATCCTAAAGACCTTTGTAGCATGATGCAAGTATACACTGTGGGCTAAGAGTTATTATCAATACTTTGATGGCATTGCCATTTGAAAAACTTGGTGAATGCTACTGGAATGGAGAATTTAACAGGAGGCAATTTAGGTGAAAGAAATTAGCCATTGCATATTTTGTCCTCTCCATCATCTGCGTATTTCCATTCCTGCCTTCCCCTCACCTCATATTTTCTTTTAAAGACAGCATCTCACTTTGTAGTAATAGGCACATATACCATGCCCTGCACCTTACCTAATTTTTACATATGAGATAACACAGATAGAAGAAAATGCCAGTTTATATGGGGGTGAATTTTCAGTTACTTGGTCTGAAAATGTTGAGACTGGTCTATAGGTCAGCTTCATAGAAATGTAACAGTTCACATTGGGGTAACACAAGAGATGATTGCCTTCCATAGTGTTTGATCTCAGAGGGTAGTTTCAGGGTAAGTTTAGTGGAAGTTATCAATAGCTAGATTTTGGTAGTCTGAGGTTCCCAGATTTAGAGCAAGGAGCCATAAGGGATGAGAAGGGAGAGGCACATATTCTCAGCTCATAAGGGCAGCATCAGGAAGATGACACATGGAGGGAAGCACCCAGGCAGTACCCATGCTCTGCCTGCCCTCCATAGGCATAGCCTTTCCCAGCCTGGTGCAATCACCTGTTCAAATATGTTTTACTTTAGGCTGCCAAAAGAAATGAGTCTTTAACAAGCTTGAACTTAGAAAAGAAAGCTCGTCTGAGAGAGGAAGCATCTGTAAAGGCCAAAACAGAGTAGCAGAGTTCTCCATGCTAGCTGGATTCTGAACACCCAGGAATAATGCAGCAACTGCCTGTGTTGAAAAGAATGGCGTGTCAACCCACTTCCTAAATGTATGACTTTCACATGCTTATCCTAGTTCCTTGTAGAGGTACGAATAAATTTTCTTAAAGAATGACTTGTCTGTTTTATAGCTTTGATCCAAGTAAAATGCAGCCTCCAGCTTTTGTAGAAAAATGAAAAATAAGACAACTTATTTCAGCTTTAACATTTCTTTAGACAATCTGGTCATGTCAGACTTTATTCCAGTCATTACCAAAGTGATCTCTCTCCAGAAGCCAAAATAGTTCATTATTCTTTCTTTCTTTGCACTGGAGCTTGAATTCAGGGCCTTCACAAAGGGATACATACCCCCTTTTGTTTTATCTTTAGACAAGTTCTCTTTAGTTCACTAAATTACCCAAACTGAGCTTGAATTTGCAGTCCTCCTGCCCGCATCTCCCAGAGTCCTGGGATTACGGAATGGTGCTGCCACATCCGGCTGTGGGAAGAAAGCCAACTGAGCACCTGCCCAAACAGGTCACTGATAGCCAGCCTCCCCAAAATGCCAGGTGCCTCTCAGGGGCTGGTTCCCAAGAGAGCTCTGAGAAGCAGCCCAACTACACTTATCTTTGGGCATGCCAACAGATGTAGGCTTCTAAGAGTTTGAAAATGTCCTGACAAGGTAATGAGTGGTCTGACCAGCCCTTGTGGGGATCTGAAAACCTGCCATCCCAGAGTTACTTGGGACTGCCCAGTCTCCACGTTCCATGCCTTACAGTTCCTGGTTGGTCCCTTTCCACTGCCTCACAAACTACATACATTTCTGTTACGAGAATCTCATGCATTTTTTTGTTTATGTTAAAAAATAAGCATTTAAACCTGGCATATGTCTCATTACAGTTTTGACTTTAGAATACTAACTTGTCTCATATTAGCTGTGGATACTGGTTTACATACACATTTCATTCTCTCGCACATGCCTTGTTAGTATTGAGTACATTAGTATTATCTCACAGGTCATTCCCCATCCCAACATGCTACCTTTCCTCAGTTACAACAGATTAGCAAGTAATATGTGCAGCTGTGGCAACTTTAATTAAACAATAAATGTAACATGCTACCTGTAGCTTCAGAGTCTGTGTTAGTGATATCTTGTTCTGTGTACTTTATAATAAGCTGACCTTAGTTGCTTTTTAGGGATCAAATTCTTTTATTTTTATCACCTGCAAATTTATTATCAAAAAGCATTGTTTTCTTGTACATCTTAGTTTTTCTTGATCATATTTGGACCCCTAAACCAGTGTTCACATGTGGGTAAATTTTAATGTACTTTTAAAAATAAGTAACTTTATACAATAAAAATTTTAACTGTTAGCATTTAAAGATATTATAGATTTATTGTAATAAAGATGTTTTATTAAACTAAAACTCATTCACCAAGAATTTAAACAATAATTTCTCATTTTGTGTTATTTTCTATTCATTAATGTCAGTGATTTCTTGCCAGAATCTCAAACTTGCCTCTAACCCTACTTCTGGTACCCCCTCATATGCCAGTTGTACCCTACTAACTCCATTGTATACCTCAAAACCTATCAAACAAATACAATTGAATGACAACTACTACAAGGTAGTATTACATACAAAAAGAGCAATAGTTTTGACATTGTTGCTTTCAGTTACATTATCAATTACTATTTGTTTAAGTCTCAACTGGAGGGAGGGTGTTTATTATGTCTCCCTAGGTAAGAGAGGCAGATTGAACCCTGATCTCATACATGCTAGGTAAGCACTCTCCCACTGAGCTACTTTCTCAGCACTTTTAAAATTTCACTTTGAGACAGGGTCATACTAATTGCCCAGACTGGCCTTAAACTTGTGGTCCTCCTGCCTCAACCTCCTGAACAGCTGGGATTGTAGGCATGCGCCACCATATCCAACTTGTACTTTATACTTTTTACCTTGTATTTCCTATTCATCCCTATGTAAATAACACATAGGGTAGGGTTCCATTGTAATCAACATAACAGTTTGGGGCATATACACCAAAATTTATTAAAAGTAGTCAAAGGATGAAGTTGTGATACCCATTGTCATTCATCAAGCGTTTAAGCTCCTTTATGCAAAAATCAACAACATACAGTTAAGCCATGCCTCCTGCTCCCACGGAGCTCATTATGTGCTGGAAACATGGCCCATGAAACCATTACAACACAAACTGGTAAAGAAATTGTTTTGAACTATACCACAGAAACTGAAGAAGTAGAATATCTAACTCAGCTCTGCACTGAGGCTGGAAGGAGGCAAGAAGTCAAAGCCTTGAGGTGCTTTCTCAAATGAATCTCAAGTGGGGTTGTTAATAGATCACACACTGAAAGGCAGTAGTCTCATACATAATTCAGTTATGTAATTTGCCTAATAATTACAAGATGGTAGGGGCCTGGAAGATAACTCAATGGGACCTGAGTTCAATCCCCAGTTCTGCCAAGAAAAAAGATGGTAAAACAACGTAGTTCGGTCTGTATCAGTCACATTCCTGTTACTAAGATAAAATACCCAACACTCAATTTAGAGGAGAGATTTATTTTGGCAGTTTCAGTGGGTTCAGTCCAGTCCTCTGACTCCACAGCAGAAAATCGCACAGTGGAGAAAGGGTGCTTAACCTACAGCAGCCAAGAAGCAGAGGAGCCAGGGAGGAGTACACCCTCCCAGGTCACAGCCCTCGTGATCTACCTCCAACACAGCGCTACTTTCTAACAGCACATTCAGTCATGAACTCTTCAGATTGATGCACTCATGAATGTAGTGCTCCCAAGAGTCAATCACCTTCCAAAAGACACATATGGGACTTCTAGGGGACATTTTAGATACCAGTGACGGGGTCCTTTAAGTTTTAGACTCTTAGAAAAAACTTAAGGATGACTTATTTTTCCCAACTCAGACCTGTGCTTGCTTCGGCAGCATATATACCAACTCACAGACCTGATACATATTTAATATATCCCATCATCACCAAATGTGTAGGTGACATCTGACCTCTACCTTCAGTTGTCATCACCCCAGGCTCATCTGACCTCCCAAACCAAAAACTGCAAACTTGCTTGTCTCCCTCAGTCAGTCATCTTATCCTGTCAACCTTACTTTTATTTCCAATATAATGACCTTCCAGGACAGTCACTGAGATGCAACAGAATGGGAAACTACAGACTAAAGAACCTACTTAGGCACAGCGCAGCAGCCGGTTTGATTCCAAGCATGCCATGCAGGCCCCACCCCCGGGGGCATGTGGAGATGGTGAATGAGACAGGGCGTGGTGGTGCGCACCTGTAATCCCAGAACTTGGGAGGCTCAAAAACAGGAGAATCACTATGAGTCCAATCCACATAGTGAGACCCTGTAAACCCTGTATTAAGTACATTAAAAAAAAAAAAAAAAAAAAAAAAAAAAGAATGGGAAACTAGTGACAAACACACCAGGTTCTTTCCTAACAGGCCTCAAGATTTGGCAGTCAGAAGCCCCAAGTCCTACACTTGCTAGTTCAACTGCTCATTTTGTAATCACTTTAAGTCTCAAAATCTTGCAACTAAACACAATTTTTAAAACATAAAATCATGCCAAAATTAAGAGAAGTCATTCTTCCAAAAACCTAAGTGTTTTGTTACTGTTTGTTTGTTTTTGAGACAGGTTCTCACAATGTAGTCCAGACTGGCTTCTAACTCACTCTGTGGACCAGACTAGCCTCACCCTGGCAGCAGCCCCCTCCTCAGGCTCCAAAGTGCCAGGATTACTGGTGTACCTAGCTTTTATTTTCTTTGTACTGGGGATTGAACCTAGCATCTTCACACTGAGCTACATTTCCAGCCTCCACACCCTTGAGATGGTGGTCTCACTAAATTGCCCCAGCAGGGCTTGAACTTGTGATCCTTTTGCCTCTGCTTCCCAGAGTGCTTACAGGCATGCGCCATCACCTGACTCAAACATCTATGTTCTTTGCGAGCCTGGCTTTGCTACTTGGTTTCCAAAGGTTTTAGCAGTCACTTATCCATAGTTTAATTGTTTTGTCATTTTCTAATGCTGCGGATGCAATGATGTTTTCTGTAGGATGACAAGCTGCTGTTATCACAACATCTGTATGACCCTGTAACTTCTGTACAATCTCTTTCGTCTGAACATTCCAAATGTAAACCAGATTATCTTCAGAACCCGACACAATCCACTTTCCACCAGTAACTGAAAAACTGGCAAATACGCAGTATTTCTCATTCTTATGACCAGTGTATGTCTTCAAGCATCTGCCTCTGCTGTAATCCCATAGTCTAAGAGTACTGTCCAAAGTTGAAGTGAGAATATATTTACCATTTGGAGAAAATTTTACAAAAGACACTGGAAGATTATCATCAACAGCAAGTGTTTTTAAACACTGACCTGAGGCAGCATCCCAGATTCTACAGAGGCCATCGTAGCTACCCGACACTATCAAGGAGCCCGTACTATTAAAATGAACAGCAGAAACGGGGTCAGAATGAGCAGTCAGAGTCTTTAGGCACTTTCCTGTTTTCACTTCCCATATTTTGACACTCTCATCAAAAGATCCTGAAACGATCAGGGTGGAAGCAGGATTGAAATTACAACAAAAGACATAATCACTGTGCCCCTGTAGTGTTCTCAAACATTTTCCAGATCTCACATCCCATATTTTTAGAGTTTTATCATCTGAAGCAGAAACAAGACAAGTAGAATCTGACGACCAGGCAACATCCGATATTTCCAGACTGTGACCATATAGTGTTTTCTTGTATTTCCCATCATAGGCTCCCCAAATGATAATTACTTTATCAGCAGAAGAACTTGCTAGCCACTCCCCGTCAGGACTAAACTTAACTGATGACACTGCTGCCGAATGCCCCACCAGAGTATATTTGAGGGCATAGTTCGGTTTTTCAGGCACTTCTTGGCGCCGCCGCCAGGCTGATGATGAGCAGGCGTCCCCTGGCTCCTCTGCTGCCATGGCTCAAAAGCTCCAAATCGGGGGATGAATGAGATGTTCTGTCCGTCCCTCGCAGCACCAGAGAAACATCAGATTTTAAAACACACGGTTTTGAATTACTACACTTTTTGCATCGTCTTTGACATGACCTGGATCAGCAACACGGCTTAGACCACTTCAGTTTTCCCTGTTTTGTGAAATACTTGCATACATAACCTTGGAAAAGTTACCGTGGCCGTGGGCGAGTGCGATGCTAGGCTGTCCGGGGTCTTAGGGGCTCCACGTGAACTATTTTCCACGCTCCTGTTCTCAGCTCCCAAATGTTGAGACTAGGTACTTTTCGATCCACGAATCACTCACTGCTTCCGGTATATATGAGTGGTTAGAAGTTTACGCCGCACAGTCACCGACATTATAAGTTTAGTCCGCGAACTCCCTCCCATAACAGCAGAACGTTCCGCAGCTGTCAGCAAGCGGAAAGGGAAGCCGAGCGTACGTGCCAAGACAGCACCAATGGGAGACGCCTGTGCGCGCCTGCGCAGAGGAGGAGTCAGGGTTCGCTTCCGGACCTGCGGGCCCCGCCCCGCGAGCGCAAAAGCCTTCCTGGAGCGGAAGTGGGTTTAACCTGCGTGTGAAGTGCTACCTTGGGTAGTAGCGAAGAGCATGCACTTTTTGAAAAAAAAAATACTCAAACGCACGGTAATTCGCTGGTACCCTTAGCGGCAGACGTAGGTCCACCCTTGCCACTTGAACTGCCGAAACAGCGAATATTTCAGAAGCCCGACAAAGGTTGACCCACCCGCCCTGGTCGGTGAGCCTGCACCAAGTTTTGCTCTCTGGATGACTTTGTTGTGCCCTCTTCCATTTGTGTTGTTAATCCTGGTGACCCTTGTGACTACTTGAGCAGTGGAGGGAAGGAGAGTGAAGTAGAATTCATGCCCAGATTCTTTTTCTTTAATTTTATTTATTTATTGATATAGGTCTTGCTACCAGTTCGGGCTTGTAGCAATCCTGTCTCAGCGTCCCCAGCGCTTGGATTACAGATGTGCGCCACCACGCCCAGTTTCTGTGGCCAGCATGGCTTGCAGTACCGGCGATTGACCCCAGATCCCTGTGCTTGCCAGGCAGGCGTTTATGCCTCCCGGCTATCTCCCCAGCCCATGTCCAGATTCCAGGACCTTTTAAAAGTTCTCCCTAAAAATGTTTAGGAATGGATGAAGGATATGTCCATTAGAGGTCTTGAAAGGCTGGTAGAATACATACTGTATCGGGAGAAATGAACAAACAGGATGTTTTCACCCTTATAGTTTGATGTTCATAAAATAAATTCCTATTTCCTTAAGGTACTTGAGAGAAAGGGTATAGGGGTTGGTAGGGTCGGATAAGACCTGGGAAAGGCTATTTTTTTTTAAATGTATTTAATGCAGGGTCTCACTACACTGGTTAGCTGCGTAGTGATCCTCCTGTTTTCAGCCTCCCAAGCGCTAGGATTACAGGCACACGCCACCACACCCAGTCTCAAGTGCTGTCTCAGCACGCCCCAGATGCGGGGCGCGCTGGAGATCGAACCCCTGGCCCCTATGCCAGCCTAAGTAAGCGCTTTAATCCGTTGATCTGGCCAGCCCAAGGCTATTCTTAATTAGGGTTTAGAACAAGATTTTGCCAAGTTTTCAGAAATGGTTGTAAAAGTAGGTGAACTCTAGTTATTTAGATGAAAGTTTACCAACGAGGCTTACCAAAAACCTGGAAACCCGAATCATACTGTGATTGCTGAGTTAATACCTGAGGAGAGACAGGGTTCTGTATTAAAGGCTTTCCTGGTAGCCAAGCTAAAAAGTCAGAAGCCAAGTATCTTCTGTGACCAGTAATTAAAAGGCAGTTTTTTGGAAAAGAAGGGTGTCCATTAAAAGGCTTGATTGTATACTAACTCACCTTCTTTTCCCTTTTTTCATTTATGTATTTGGTGCAGGGTCTTACTATGCAACTCAGACTTGTAGTGAGCCTATTTTCAGCCTCCCCAGTGCTGGGATTAAAGGGTAGCACAAATGGACTCTGTCGCGACTCAGCTCACTCCAGCGGCTGGCTGGTGCAGCATGCAGGACCAGGGATCGAAACCTGGTCCCTGCGCTTGCCTAAGCAAGCGCTTAGTCCACTGAGCTATTTCACCGGCCATAACTCACCTTTAATAGATCAACTAATAGTAAGAACCTTATTATTTAAATATTCTATGACTCTAATTTGAAATTTGGACAGGGATTAGACTTATTAGTTTAAACTAAAGGTGTAAACCCAAGAACACTTCAGGAGGACTGAGCACATATCTCAGAGGCATAAGCACCTGCCTCGAAGCACAAGATCCCGATACCCAGTGGGGGGGGCGGGGATCAGAAGTGGAAATAATACAGTAGTGTATCTTTGAAGTTGTTGGAGCACTTGCAGGTTATCTTAGCTATTCACTAAGGCCTGCTCTCCATGAAACTCACTTGTGTAGTATTTTTCTCAAACTTTTCTTCCATATATCTTAAAGTTCAATTCTGACTAAACTCTTCCCTTTCCTTTCCTCTCCTCAGAGTGGACTAGTCTAAATTCTGCACCAACTGAAACTATTTACATTTTCTACTAACATTAAAAGCACTGTGGGGAACAATATTTAGACCTTTCTCAAAGAATTTAAGCAAATCTTTTTGAATAATTGTACAGTACTATGAAAATAAGGTGAACATAAGGGATAGGATAAGGCATTGGTACTAGGGTATATTTAATTCATTACAGATATCACAAATGAGGGAGAGAAGACACAGAATTGAGAATGGATTGGCAGGGACAGGAATATAGCTCAGTGGCACAAGTGCCAGCCTGGTAAGTAGAAGGTCCCAAATTCAATTCCCAGTACCAAAATGAAAAAAAAAAAAAAAAAAAAAAATTGACAGGAATAACCAGACTTTTTCTACAGATTTCTCCCAAGATCTGATGGAGTCAAAATCCACCTTTTAATGTGGGGGCTATTTACAAACAGCCTCAGGAACTCATGTAAAGACTATGGTATGACTAAGTCTTATTTACTCATTAGTCCTGCCCTGATATTAACAAGTAGTCCTTATAAATTAGGTCCAAGAATTTCACAGCTTTAGTTTCTTTGGCAGGACAGAGATGGTGCAGTATGGTGGGAGAGGCTGTGGGGGAGTGGGGGTAAAGGGTGTGGCTGCTACAGCATGTGGGGGCAGAGTACCCTTACAGGTAAATCCAAGTGGTACGAACAGTAAGAATTAGCATATTGGCTACCCAATCAAAAATTTCTTCCGTGTTTACCTCCTTTTTCACAATACCTACTTTTGCCACCCTTAATTTTCACCAAATAGATGATTTATAAATAGTCTATAGAGAGGCTGGCAGTATAGCTCAGCAGACTACTCACTTGCTTAGCCAAGTGCAGGGGCCAGAGTTTGATCCCTGGTACCGAATGCTGTGGTGGCTCCACCCCAGGGCGCACTGAGCTGGTGAAGGAACCTGGGCATGGTGGCGCACCCCTGTAATTCCAGCACTAGGGAGGCAGAAATCAGGAGGATCACTGAGTTTGAGTTACTTAGTGAAACCCTGCACACACACACACACACACACACACACACACACAATTTAAAAAAGATCTTTGTAGAAATCGACTAGGTTTCAAATACTCATGTTTTAGAATTGAAAGCCATGTGGTTGAAAGATTTCCTTTGTCACTCAGTAAAATTTGCAGATACTCTATAAAACAGAAATGTTACCACAAACGGGCAGATTTCTTTTAATTAAAAAGTGCCAGACCTAATGATGGCCCAGGTTAGGAATTAACCAAGGACTGCTTTGACTACCTTTCTTTATAGCAACTTTCATTTTTTTTGGTTTTTTGGCAGAACCAGGGATTGAACTCAGGCCCTTGCGCTTGCCAGGGAAGCACTTATTCTACTGAGCCAACTCCCTGACCCCTATAGCAACTTTCAATCCTCTCTTACAGTGCTGTGGTTCCAAACTGGGGCCTCAGGCCAGGAGATACCTGAGCAGCTTAAGCATCTGCCTGACAAGCACTAGGTCCCGAGTTTGATTCCTGGGACGTCCCCCCATCCCCCGCCAAAAAAAAAAATACAAAACAAAACTGGGGAGCCCTCTAGCAAATGTGTAAACATGTATGGTTAGACTGCATATGGGGCAGCAAACGAACATTTTTAGAAGTGAATGGAATACTTCACAGGCGTTAACTGATCCATACATTTAAACTGGACCTGTTCCCAGCAAACCAGTAATCCCTTCCCAAGAAGGCTCGCCTCAGAATAACTTAAACCTTAGAAAATTCTGTACCTGGTAGCTTAAACCCCAGCTTGCCGTGTTGTCTCTCAAATCCTGGCTTTCTCACTACTACTGGTCTTTGAGACTCCATTGCTCTGGTCTGTCACTTTATCTTAATGCTATACCCACATGGTGGATAAGGCAGTCATCCTTATTACAGACCCTATAATGAACTTTAGTATAGTTTCCTCAGGTTATGTGGATATGAAGAAATGTAATTTCACTTTTTGCAAAAACACTGATCATATAAATGACCACACATTAATTTGAAACTAAGAAAATACTTTGCAATGGAAGTGAGGCAGGGAAACAATTACCTAATTTTGTACTATAGATGAAATAATACTGTGTGTAGAATCCGAATGTATATTTTTACAAAACTGGTCAGTGGAATCTAAAAAAACGATGAGAAACAGTAATACAATGAAGAAATACATGCTTTTCTTATTCATCTCATTTGAATTGGAGGAATGGATAGTGTTCTCATGCCATACACTATGTAAAAATGAAAAGTCCATTCAATGGCCAGAGGCATCCACTAGCTTCCAAGTTACATGTATCTTCTAAAAACTTTTAAGAGGTTAAAACTTAAAAAATATGCCACAATATTGTGGATGTAGATGTCTCCTGAAAAGCAACTATATACAAAACTCAAGACAATCTGTCAAACATGAATTCCTCTGCAGTTTCCTGTATCATTTAATAATATACAAACATATTCCTTCAGTTTCTAGTCAGTGCCTCTCATTTACAAGGCACACACCCATGGCCTGACTATATTCAAACATGAAGACTCCTTAGAGGTCTTCCAAATCAATGTCAGAACACTTGGAAAACGAACGCGGAGTGGTCAAAGTAACTTGAATTAAGTAGAAATTCAAGAAATACAATAAAGAAAAAATGTAATAAAGGGAGCTATCTGTGGGACAACACTCCTTTAGTTGGTTCAATCCATGGACTTTTTTTTTTTTTTTTTTTTTTTTTTTTTTTTTTTGTTTTTTTTTTTTTTTTTTTTTTTTGCGGTACCAAGGATCGAACTCAGGACCCTGCACGTGCCAGGCAAGCACTTATTCTACTGAGCTATCTCCCTGGCCTCCATGGACTGCTTTCTAAAGCAGTAATTCATCACAAAGCCTTTTCCGTGTCAACACCTTTATAGCTGCATTTGATTTGAAATGTTTAGCTGTTACTAAAATCACTTGCACATTTTCAATCTGTTATTGCAGTTGTCTGGTTAAATAGAATTTTAATTCCAAAGACAGAAAAAAATGTTCAGGCTGAGGGCTACACCTATGTAAACCATAAGTAATTTAACAACTAGGGTATTCATTTTGAGGGTGGTGATACAAAGGAAATCAGGACAAATAGTCCCAACAAGAGACCATGGCTGTTCAAACTTTCAAAGTTTGAGGCATGTAACTACCACATAACCACTGCTTTCTCTAAGACAGAGAACTTCAGGGCTCCACCCTTCCCTTGGATAACTAGTATTTTGACCTTCAAACAAAGCAACTCCCAAGTTTGGATTTCATCACCTATGATACAGTGATATATCCAAATCAAAAAAGTTGGGTGTTAAGAAAAGGAAAGCCCTTTGACACCTTCTTAGCATGTAACAGATGCTCATATAAACACAAGGTGTTTATTTATTTAACCTGTAGGAAAACATCAGACCTTTCTACCTTTAGCTGAAAACAGAATGCAATACTGCCCTTCTTTCTTATCCCAAGGTTACAGATGCATTTTATATTCAAAGGCAACCTGTATCTCTTTATATATAAAGCCATCATGTCTAATGCTCAGGTATCCGTACTTACAAACTACCTTTTTTTTTTTTT